GTCTGACACACCTGGGCACACACCTGGGCACACCTGGGGACAGCACCGGAACCAATCAGGAGGTGGCACTGTTTGCTTTTCTGTGTGTTGGTTACACCTGTGGTGGCACCTGTCAGGTCCCCCAGGGCAGGGTCACACCTGGGCACTCACCTGGAGACAGCTGGGAACTCACCTGGTGGCACCTGGGCACAGCTGGAGACAGCTGGAGACAGCTGGGAACTCACCTGGTGGCACCTGGAGACACCTGAGAACAGTTGGGCACACCTGGACACACCTGGTGGCACCTGGAGACATATGTGGGGAGAGCTGGACACACCTGGTGGCACCTGGACACACCTGGGGACACCTGGGCACAGCTGAGAACAGCTGGGCACACCTGGACACACCTGGTGGCACCTGGGAACAGCTGGGAACTCACCTGGTGGCACCTGAGGACAGCACCAGGACAGGACAGGAGATGGTGCCAGTGTGTCAGTGGCACCTGGTGGCACCTGGGCACACCTGGTGGCACCTGGACACACCTGGGGACAGCTGGACACACCTGGGCACACCTGGTGAACCTGAGGACCTGATCAGGAGGTGGCACCGTTTGTTTCTGTGTGTGTTGGTGGCACCTGTGGTGGCACTGTCACCTCCCCCAGAGCAGGGTGACACCTGGGCACACCTGGTGGCACCTGGACACACCTGGGGACAGTTCCAGGACAGGATAGGAGGTGGCACCGTTTGTTTCTCTGTGTGTTGGTGGCACCTGTGGTGGCACTGTCACCTCCCCCTGCCCACGGACCAGGTGTGACACACCTGAGGTGACACCTGGGCACACCTGAGGTGACACCTGGGCACACCTGGGGACCATCACGGACCAGGAGCAGGACAGGAGGTGGCACCACGGTGACATCGTTCATTTCTCTGTCTGTTGGTGGCACCTGGGACCAGGTGAGGTCACACCTGGGCACGGCACAGGAAGGGGACAGGAGGTGGCACTGAGGTGACATCGGTCATTTCTGTGTGCTGGTGGCACCTGGACAGGTTTGGTGGCACCTGGGCACACCTGGTGGCACCTGGGCACACCTGAGGTGGCACCTGGGCACACCTGGTGGCACCTGGGCACACCTGAGGTGGCACTTGGGCACACCTGAGGTGGCACCTGGACAGGTTTGGTGGCACCTGGACACACCTGAGGTGGCACTTGGGCACACACCTGGTGGCACCTGGACAGGTTTGGTGGCACCTGGGCACACCTGGTGGCACCTGGACAGGTTTGGTGGTACCTGGACACACCTGGTGGCACCTGGGCACACCTGGTGGCACCTGGACAGGTCTGGTGGCACCTGGGCACACCTGGTGGCACCTGGGCACACCTGAGGTGGCACCTGCCATTGTCACCTGTCCCCAGGGACTGAAGGGCTCTGTCCCCT